TATTGGAGGGGTGACAGGTAAGCTTCTAACATGGATGATAAATTTTCTGACCGATAGAAAAATGAGGGCAGTAATCAGAGGCAATGTATCGGAATGGAGAAATGTCACAAGTGGAGTACCACAGGGTTTAGTTCTTGCACCAGTGATGTTTATTGTCTACATAAATGATCTACCAGTTGGTATACAGAATTATATGAACATGTTTGCTGATGATGCTAAGATAATAGGAAGGATAAGAAATTTAGATGACTGTCATGCCCTTCAAGAAGACCTGGACAAAATAAGTATATGGAGAACCACTTGGCAAATGGAATTTAATGTAAATAAATGTCATGTTATGGAATGTGGAATAGGAGAACATAGACCCCACACAACCTATATATTATGTGAGAAATCTTTAAAGAATTCTGATAAAGAAAGAGATCTAGGAGTGGTTCTAGATAGAAAACTATCACCTGAGGACCACATAAAGAATATTGTGCAAGGAGCCTATGCTATGCTTTATAACTTCAGAATTGCATTTAAATACATGGATGGCGATATACTAAAGAAATTGTTCATGACTTTTGTTAGGCCAAAGCTAGAATATGCAGCTGTTGTGTGGTGCCCATATCTTAAGAAGCACATCAACAAACTGGAAAAGGTGCAAAGACATGCTACTAAGTGGCTCCCAGAACTGAAGGGCAAGAGCTACGAGGAGAGGTTAGAAGCATTAAATATGCCAAAACTAGAAGACAGAAGAAAAAGAGGTGATATGATCACTACATACAAAATAGTAACACGAATTGATAAAATCGACAGGGAAGACTTCCTGAGACCTGGAACTTCAAGAACAAGAGGTCATAGATTTAAACTAGCTAAACACAGATGCTGAAGAAATATAAGAAAATTCACCTTCGCAAATAGAGTGGTAGACGGTTGGAACAAGTTAAGTGAGAAGGTGGTGGAGGCCAAGACCGTCAGTAGTTTCAAAGCGTTACTGTATATGACAAAGAGTGCTGGGAAGACAGGACACCACGAGCGTAGCTCTCATCCTGTAACTACACTTAGGTAATTACACTTAGGTAATTACACACACACACACACACCAGAAAGCAGCCCGTGACAGCTGACTAACTCCCAGGTACCTATTTACTGCTAGGTAACAGGGGCATAGGGTGAAAGAAACTCTGCCCAATGTTTCTCGCCGGCGCCCAGGATCGAACCCGGGACCACATGTCCAGCGTGCTGTCCGCTCGGCTGGCCAGCCCCGTATGTATGTATGTATAATTAGTACAATACATAAAATCCCTAAACATACTAAATATAATCTCACTCCACACATTCTCTTGTGTCAATTACATCTACAAAACCCTGTTCTTAAGTGCTAACCATGCTCTGAAACTCTCCCCTGAACAGATATAATAGGACCCATAATCACACACCAGAAATAGATATCTCTTTGATATCCCCAGTCAAACTTAATCTGTGTAAACACACTATGCAAATAAAGGTACCTAGTCTATGGAACTCGCTCCCATATTCATTCCCAATTCAATACTAATGAATTAAAAAGCAGTCCAAAATTTTGCCTTATTCAAAAAAACAAAACAAAAGTACAGTACCTAATTTCATCTTCATAGTTTCCTACCTAGTGCTTGAAACTTACACTGTATCTAGTGCTTCCCAATCCCCCAATATTTATGTACCTAAAAGCCATACAACTTTACCAGTGTGCTCATTGCTGTCATCTTGTATGTTCTATCAATATGCTTTATTGTGCCTATTAATCTTTGTCAAATTATCAATCAACTATCACGGCTATCAATCAAAGCTATCAATATGCTTTAATATACCTACTAATCTCTCAATTTTTTCTTACAATGTACCTGTTAACATTTTATAAATTTTGCTAGAATTTACCTACTTAATATTACAGTACTGTATCTGTTAGATTAAAGACTTGCCTGAAACGCTATGCGAACTAGTACTCACCTATTTGTGCTTGCAGGGGTTGAGCTTTGGCTCTTTGGTCCCACCTCTCAACCGTCAATCAACTGGTGTACAGATTCCTAAGCCTACTGGGCTCTATCATAAATATACATTTGGAACTGTGTATGGAGTCAGCCTCCATCACATCGCTTCCTAATGTATTCCATCTGTTAACTACTCTGACACTGAAAAAGTTCTTTCTTATGTCCCTGTGGCTCATTTGGGTACTCAGTTTCCACCTGTGTTCCCTTGTTCGCATACCACCAGAGTTAAACAATTTATCCTTGTCTACCATGTCAATTCCCCTGGGGATTTTGTAGGTAGTGATCATGTATCCCCTTACTCTTCTGTCTTCCAGTGTCATGAGGTGTAATTCCCGCAGCCTTTCCTCGTAATTCATGCCATTTAGTTCTTGGATTAGTCTAGTGGTATACCTCTGGACCTTTTCCAGCTTTGTCTTGTGCTTGACAAGGTACGGGTTCCATACTAAGACCGCATACTCCATGATTTGTCTCACGTATGTGGTATACAAGATTCTGAATGCTTCCTTACACAGGTTCCTGAAGGCTGTTCTGATGTTAGCCAACCTCGCATATGCCGCATACGTAATTCTTTTTATGTGGGCTTCAGGAGACTGGTTTGGTGTGATATCAATTCCTAGATCTTTCTCTCTGTCCGTTTCATGAAGTGCTTCATCTCCTATTCTGTATCCTGTGTCTGGCCTCCTGTTTCCACCGCCTAGTTTCATTATTTTGCATTTACTCGGGTTGAACTTTAGCAGCCATTTGTTGGACCATTCATTGTCTGTCTAGGTATCTTGTAGCCTCCTACTATCCTCCTCTGTTTCAATCCTCCTCATAATTTTTGCATCATCAGCAAACGGTGAAAGAAACAAGTCTATACCCTCTGGGAGATCATTTACATATATCAGAAACAGCATAGGTCCAAGGACCGACCCCTGTGGGACTCCACTGGCAACGTCTCGCCAATCTGAGACCTCACCCCCTCACAGTGACTCTGTCTTCTGTTGCTTAGGTACTCCTGTATCCACTGGAGTACAGTACCTTCCCTTTCACTCCAGCCTGCACCTCTAGCTTTTTCACTAGCCTCTTCTGTGGTACTGTGTCAAAGGCTTTCTGACACTCCAAAAATATGCAGTCTGCCCACCCCTCCCTTTCTTGCCTGATTTTTGTTGCCTGGTCATAGAATTCAATTAATCCTGTGAGGCAGGACTTGCCATCCCTGAACTCATGTTGATGCTGTGTTACAAAGTTCTTTCGCTCCAGATGTTCCACTAGCTTTTTTCGTACAATCTTCTCCATCAGCTTGCATGGTATGCAAGTTAGAGACACTGGCCTGTAGTTCAGTGCCTCCTGTCTATCCGCCATCTTGCATATCGGGACTACATTAGCCGCTTTCCAAATTCTTGGTAGTTCTCCTGTTGCCAGTGATTTGTTGTACACTATGAAGAGTGGCAGGCACAGTGCTTCTACTCCTTCCTTTAGTATCTAAGGGGAGATTCCATATGGGCCTATAGTCTTTGTCACATCCAACTCTAGCAAGAGCTTCCTTACATCCCCACTGGTAATCTCAAGCTCTTCTTGTGGTTCCTCGTTAACTATTCCCTCTCTTATCTCTGGAACTTCCCCTTGCTCTAAAGTGAAGACCTGGAATTTCTTATTCAGTTCCTCACACACTTGTCATTTGTAGTGAATCTGTCTGCCCCTACCCTAATTTCATTACCTGTTCCTTTATTGTTGTTTTTCTCCTGATGTGGCTGTGCATCAATTTAGTTTGTGTCTTTGCCTTGCTTGCGATGTCATTTTCGTATTGTCTTTCTGCCTTTCTTCTCAACCTGACATATTCATTCCTGGCACTCTGGTATCTTTCTCTGCTCTCAATTGTCCAGTTATTTCTATAGTTTCTCCATGCCCTTTTACTTTGCTGCTTAGCTAGCCTATATCTCTGATTAAACCATGGGTTTCTCATCCTCATTTCATTGTTTTCCTTTTGGACTGGAACAAACTTGTTTGCTGCTTCCTTGCACTTCTGCGTGATGTAGTCCATCATGTCTTGGGCCGTCTTTTCCCTGAGCTCTATTTCCCATGTTATATCTGTTAGGAATTTTCTTTTCTCCTCATAGTTTCCCTTTCGGAATGCCAGCCTTTTGTTTTCAGTACCCCTCCTTGAGTTCAATAACCCTTCTTCAATCAGATACTCAAACACCAGTACACTGTGGTCACTCATTCCTACTGGGGCCTCGAAACTGATTTCCCTTATGTCGGAGTCGTTCAGAGTGAAGACTAGGTCGAGTCTCGCTGGTTCATCGTTTCCTCTCATCCTTGTGGGCTCCCTGACATGCTGGCTTAGAAAGTTTCTTGTCGCCACCTCTATTAGTTTGACTCTCCATGTATCCTCACCTCCATGCGGTTCCTTATTCTCCCAGTCTATCCTTCCGTGATTGAAGTCTCCCTTGTTGAGCAGATGGGATCTATTTATACAGGCAACAGAGGAAGCCCTCAATTATAGTGTTAACTGCCATATTATTGCTGTCATTCTGTTGCCTGGGTCTTCTGTCATTTCGTGGAGGGTTATATATCACTGCTACTACTACTTTAGATCCTCCCATTGTCATGGTGCCTGTTATGTAGTCTCTGAATCCTTTGCAGCCCGGGATAACCATCTTGAAACTCCATTCCGTTCTCATTAGTAGGGCCACTCCATCTCCTCCTCTTCCTTCCCTCTCTTTCCTTATAACAGTGTAGTGTATTTGACAATGCTCAAATTCTGGCATTTAACACCCCAATGGCCATTGGCCTACCATAGGCTTGACAGGTTTTGTATTTTCAAGGGTGCAATGTACAGCTATTTGAAGAATAATTTTGTTTAATGTTATAACTACAAAATATTAGCAAGGCCAGTTAATAAGCTTGTGTTGCAGGAAGAAGTTCTTCCCAGGTAATCTTTTGTATTTAAAATATTTAAGTCTGTTATGAAAATGTAAAAAAATTCTGATTTCTTGCTTTCAGAGAATGATTACTTTAACAAAGAAATTAAAGTCGAGTAAGGGGGTTGGGGTACCAGAACCCCCTAAAAAGCGGATTTCTATTCGTGATCAACTACTTGTCAAAGAGGTATGTGAAATTAATACTTTTTATTGTGATTTTTAATATTGTTTGTTATAAATGTTATTGTTTTTCCATGCTACTAGTAGAATTTACTTTGAAGTTTGCAAGTTGAAATTGTACTTTGTACAAGCTACTACTGTAGCAATGCTATGAATAATTCTATACTTTAATTGAATGTTAATGTGTGTTATTAGTCATTTATTTAGGAGATTTTGAATTGTTGTGGGAAAAACTTAGTAGTGGGATTTTAATTATTCATTTTAGTTATTGATTTATTTATTAAATGAGTTATATTTAATTTGATTTTAAATGATTTCTTTAGAGAGTGGACTGTATGGTTTCAATTTCATCCTTCTAGTAGTCTCATTCACACATCTGGGGGGGGGGGTATGTTCTACCAAATCCAAGCTAATTGATCTATAAAAAAATTTACTACTGGTTATTCTAAGATTTTAAGAATGGTTATTAATATAAATTTGGACAAGCTTAGCTATCTTTGTAAAATGCAGCCTGGTTAACAAGCAATAGACATGTCCTGATCATGTAAACTTGTTCTCCTTGTAGACCATGTGGTTATGGCGTCATCACATGGTAGTGTGATAAAGCAGTTAAGTTGCTGCTAGTGTCTCATGCTGTCACAATTTCACCTGCCGGAATGTTAGTGTAAACAATGCAAACAACATCTATATGACAATGAGAATTATTAACACTTTCGCGCTCTCGGCAAACGAGAAAAAACTTGCCCCCTGTGCGCGAGGCGTTTCGGGCGATCGAGCGGCAACACTGAGAAGTATACTCTTTTCACTGTCCTGACCTTAATTTTTGATGTACGTATTTCATTTTTGTAGCAATGTGTTCACAATAGAATGTTCTAGAAGAACATACATATAAAATGTCACCAAAGCATGAGTTAGACCAGCACTAAATAAAGAACTACGTCGATCACTAGCCGTGAGCGCCAAACAGCGACGAAATATTTCTACTCTTTTCAGGGTTGTCAACTCCATACTTGTCCTACAGTGTTAAATTTGGTATCGCCAAAATCGCAATAAAATTCCCTACGTGGACATATGCATATAAATGTAGAATCATGGTCGCGGCCCACCCGCAAGAGTGTGGGAAGTGGCCGAAGTGTTACCTGTTACCACACACCCGACGGCACATCGGCGAGACCCCTATTGAAAAGTGTGTATTCTTTTCACTGTTCTGACCTTAATTTTCGATGTACGTATTTAATTTTTGTAGCAATGTGTTTGCAATAGAATGTTCTAGAAAAACATAAGTACTGTATAAAATGTCTCACAAGGATGCTTTAGACCGGCACCAAATAAAAAACTACATCGATCACTAGCTGTGAGCGCCAAACAGCGACGAAATGTTTCTACTCTCTTCAGATTTGTCAAGTTTGTTGTACACCGTTTTTATTTGTAGCACAATGATCGCAATACAATTCCTTACACGGACATATGCATATGAAATCAAAATAATGGGCAAACCCCACCTGTAGCAACGCCCAAATTCACCTTACTGCAACCCGTTAACCACACCCGCTACACCCGAAAAAACTTCATGAAGTTTCCCATTTACTTATAGAAGTTTGTGATACATTGTTCATTTTGGTATCAAATTAGTCGCAATAAAATTGTCTACAAAACGTATAAAACATAATATCTTATTTATAAAAACTTATACAAAGTATGTGTACTTTTCAAGGGAAAGATGATGGTAGAACAGTAAGTTGAGCATTTTTTTATCTACTCCACCTCCTTCAGGTCAACGTTCCTGAAGTTGCTCAACAGATGTTTCGTAAGTGGAGTGAATCTGTTGCGGGTGGTTACTTCTTTTCCACCCAATATACTTTTTTCCGGTGGTATCTTGTGTAGCAAGGTATAACACACAGTCTAACATCACACGTTTTGCATCCTATGCTAGTGTCCCTCCTTATATCTGACATGTAACAAACATGACACCTACGACGTTCTGGCATTTTTACAATTTCATGTGTGAGCTTGTAGTTGAGACGATTTTCTGAATCAACAATACGTCTGTTTCTTTTATGAGGAGGACGACGACTTCTGTCTGAGACTTCTGTGACACCCGTCTTGTCTAAGGGTTCTGTACCAGACATTTCGTGTTCTGATTCAGGTGAGGACGCGTGGCCTTGAGGTGTTTAAGTAAAGAGGCCACCACACACCAGATGGTCCGGGTGTTGACACGGCGGCAGTATCAGCAGGACTAACGTCAGCATTTATGTCAGTAGCATGTGGCAGGGTTGTAGTTGTTGGAGACCATTCTTCAGCATCCCACTTCAATAGGGACCAAAATTGCCACCTCGTGAAACTGTAGCAATGTTAGCTTCCTGCGATCACTTGTGTTCTGCTTGTACAAAACAAATGCATTATGCAAAGTCATTTGCATAAAATAAAACGTGATCTTCTTGGTCCACTTGTGACTTTTTCTTGTGAACTGGTAATACTTGACCATTTTATTGAAGTGATCAACACCTTTCATGAAGCGATTATAATCACAAATTGCTTTTGGTTTGTTCACTGTTACCTGTTCGAGTGAAGTTGTTCTGTCACGTTTCCGAATTCGTTTCCTTTGCTGAACTTGCTGAGTGCCTGCATTGTGGCAGTTGGTAATGATTGAGACCACTTGCTTGTCTTTACAAAGTATAATGAATGTGTTATCTTTGCGGCCGTACAGGATGGTATCCAATGGAAGTTTACCCTTTGCTTGCTGTTGCAGTTCCTTCGGTGAGCCACGTTGCAGTCTTAGTGTGCCATACGTGTAAACCCCAACTTCTCGTAACTTCTCTGTCAGGGTAATTGAGTTGTTGTAGTTATCCATGTACAGATGATGACCCTTGTTCACTAGGGGCTGAATCAAGCCCATGACGGTTTCGATTGTTGTTTTTCCAATGCCACAATATATGTCAGTCATATATGTAGCCAGATGTTGATTCAGCCAGCATGTAAAGTTTTACACCATATTTGTCTGGTTTGTTGGGATTGTACACCTTGATAGAGAGTCGGCCACACCATACCATTGTACCTTCATCCAAACACAATTCTTTCTTTGGAACGTAAACTTCTGCAAATTTTGTTTTCAAATAATCGATCACTGGTCGCACTTTTATCAACCTGTCAGTATTGTTCAAGGGAATTGTATTGTTATTTTAGGTATGGAAGAACTGGCCAATATGTTGGAACCGTCTCGTCGCCATAAACATATTGAAGAAACGAGCATGCCAGGGTTTTTTTGTTTGCCAGTACATCCTCATTGTTGGGAGCTTGTTTATCCCCATCAATATGCACAGGCCCAAATATCTGGCCATTTCCTTTACCGTGACTGGTTTCCACAATTTCCTGACGTTCTCTGAAGCATTCCTTATAAGTTGTGAGGCATACAAGTTTGTTTCTATGGTCAAAAAATCAATAAACGCTTGTGTAAAAAATAGTTGAATAAATTGTATTGCAGTTATGGGTGTGGAAATGGTCAGGCCTAGTGTTCCAGTAAAATCCTCTACAATTTGGGGAGTGTTGCTACGACTCCAGATATTACCAGCCTTAGGCTGTCAATTACGTACCGGACGTGTTCGCTTTCGACTATGAGGCGGTGGGGCATGTGCCTCTTCCTCACTTGTATAATCGTCACTATCGCCATTGGAATCATTGACAGGTTCTTCAATTGATTTAGTTTTCCTACAACAACAGATATTACCTGCATCTAGCTGTGGCTTGCATCCAGAACGTGTGCACTTTGTGATAGGCGGCGGCGGGGCAGGTGCCTCTTCCTCACTCTCCTCCTCACTTATAGATGCTCCTGTTTCACGATTGACATTATCGCCATTGAAATCATCAAAATCAGGTTCATCCCCTTCAATATCATAATCATCAATGTCAGATAATGCTGCAACAAGCCCTGGAATCTTTGTGGGTGTGAGCCTCACCCCACTGTACTTTTTGTAAATCATACTTATCTTGTCTTCTTTTGATGAACTCTTCGGTCCTTTAGGCGTAGCACTGCTTGGGCCTTGACCAGGATCCATCGTAAATCTATATAATGGGTCAAAAATACACAGGAACAGGTATAACTGTGGAAAACCGATCAAGTTTGGCGTGCGAGCGGGAGAGTGGTGTGGGCACTCGTTGTGTTGACAATACAATGGGCTGACCACGTGATCGCATAGGCCAGGGTGCCATGCGGCCTATTGGGGAGAACGTGAATTTCATGGCACGCATTTTGAAACTATCCCCAAGTCGATCTAATAAAAAATGGATTTTATAGAAATATTTTTTCTCATGATGCTTGAGCAAGTCACTTAAGCGGACTCAATTGAAAAATTGGTGCTGCTCTTAAGCGACACGAATGCGCGAAAATGTTAAATTAATGTTGGATGCTTACCTGATCTGGGTGGTTTGTTGTGGCCCCTATCGGTTCAGGTTTGTTTTTCCAAAGCTCTTTCTTGTTCGTTTGCAGCCGTCTCCAGGAACACAAAGTATGAATTGGCAGCGCCGGAATTTTGCTCGAGTGTAATTACCTGTTTGTGTGCTCGGAATGGACTCAAGGTTGTTGGGTCTAACGCAGTGTGTGTGTGTGTAATTACCTAAGTGTAATTACCTAAGTGTAGTTACAGGATGAGAGCTACGCTCATGGTGTCCCGTCTTCCCAGCACTCTTTATCATATAACGCTTTGAAACTACTGACGGTCTTGGCCTCCACCACCTTCTCCCCTAACTTGTTCCAACCGTCTACCACTCTGTTTGCGAAAGTGATTTTTCTTATATTTCTTCGGCATCTGTGTTTAGCTAGTTTATATCTATGACCTCTTGTTCTTAACGTTCCAGGTATCAGGAAATCTTCTCTATCGATTTTATCAATTCCTGTTACTATTTTGTACGTAGTGATCATATCACCTCTTTTTCTTCTGTCTTCTAGTTTTGGCATATTTAATGCCTCTAACCTCTCCTTGTAGCTCTTGCCCTTCAGTTCTGGGAGCCACT